CAACAGAATAAAATGGCGGAAAATCCTAGAACCAGCCAGGACACAGAAAGGGTTGTCGAGCTACTGATGATGATGATGATGTTAAACAGTTTACATAATGTATTAGAGAATTTTTCTTATGTTTATTTAATATATTAATAAAGAAAAAAGCTAGTTTAATTTATTTAAGTATTTAAAACATGTTTAAAACAGATAATTAAAACGAAACAACCATGGCCGAAACAACTGATAATACCTACAAATCTTTTATCTTGAATATAAAAAAGTAAGTTAAAATGCCTTGCAGAGAATGACAGAAACAATAATAGATAAATCAAATATAAAACAAGTGTACAAAGCAAAGTAAATAAAATTTTACAATATAGGATTACGGCTTATCATACAGAAGAAAAAAAGTCAATATTTCATGTATATAAGGTGAACAAACACCCATAATAACAATATTAAGTTAAAAAAATAAAATATGAAAAGAAAAACAAATTAAAATGTCTCTAAACAAGAATTTAGTAAATCCACAATTTTAATGACACTATTTTCTTTTTTACTTTCTTATCTTATAATATAATTTAAAAATGGCACCTGTCTATCTAGAAAATCATCAAATCTCGGAAATTATACAACCGCCTTGAACCAAAACGGTAAATTGGTTAATATAATTTAAAAAGTTGTTATTGTTAATTGTTATATACAATATTATAAAACCATTTACAGGTTTTTATATTATATTAAAATATAATCGAATTAATTATCGATATTTAAATGGCGCTATCTGTTGGCAAGACTACTTAGTTTCTTACCATTTTATATCAAATTCATTTCAGCCAAAAATCATTTATATTAAAAAATCACATTAATTATTATACTAATACGAAAATTGCAACAGTTTATTTATATTATATGAAATCATTAAATTAATTATATTTAACACTGACGCCACCTGTTAGCAGGTCTACGAAGTGTTATAATTGCGATGTTGCCAAGATAATAGTTTTTTTCTATAGATAGCCACACCTGCATTTAGCATTGTTCACAAATTAACAGGCAGCAGTTAATTCGATGCATGCTAAACGAATTTTTGACCGCAAATTCATAGAGAAGGAATAAGATTTTACAGTATCTAGTAATAAATTAAAAAAATTGGGTTTTTTACTTTTAAGCACTGTTAGCAACCCTGGAGAATGGAATTAGTGTGTCAGGGTTGTTTTATTACAGTAAATTTGAAAAAAAAATGGATGAGAATAATTTTTACCTGTACATAGTACAAGTACCACTATCCCTGAGGCTTGTGTGGAAGCTACAGTCGGCAGCCCCGGCACCAGGCAAGGGTGGGGAAGGCCAATAACCTACCCATATTAAATTTCATTTTATTACTGAAACTTTGGTAAAAACAAAGCGGACGGATCAATTGATGACGACCTTGGCATCACCGAAGACATGGACACGATTTGGTCGCTGGAATGTTAAAACTCTGTATGAGATTTCTAAACTAGCCCAAGCAGTAAAAAAATTAAATAGGTATAAATTAAGCTTTGTTGGTCTATGGGAAGTAAGATGGTGAACACCATATCCAAACAGGAGAACTCCTATTATACAGTGGTAAAGAAAATGGAAGTTACGAGAGCAGAGTGAGTCTTCTACTCAGCAAACAAGCCAAAAAAAGCCTCATTTCATGGAAACGCATCAATGATAGAATTATGACGGCCAGATTTTATACTAGATACCGCAAGATAACAGTGTATCAGTGCTATGCTCCCACGAGCACATCTCCCCCCGAAGATAAAGATATTTTCTACGAACAACTAGAACAAACAACCAACAAGTAAACTAAGGCGATATACTCATAGTGATGGGCGATATGAACGCTAAAGTTGGAGAAGACAATATTAACTTAGAAACCTTAATGGGCAAACATGGCCTGAGAGGGATGAATGAAAATGGAGAGCGTTTTATAAATTTTTGTTCCAATCATAGCTTAGTTATTGGTGGAACCATCTTCCCATATAAAAATATCCACAAGGTTACATGGACTGCACCAGGTCATATAAGAGGAAATCAAATAGACCACATCGCCATATCAAGAAGATGGAGATCATCTCTTCTTGATGTACGTAATAAAAGAGGAACAGAAATTGCAAGAGACCATCATCTCGTATTCGGTACCATTAAAATCAAGATGACAAAAAACAAAATCACGCAAAACACCAACAGATCAACATAGAATATAGACAAAAAATAAAAAAGGGTTCAGGACGACACATGCTTAGGGAAGAACTCCAACTCAAAACAAGAGAACGTGAAGTAAATAGCTGGGAAGATTTGGCAGATGTTTTGACAGAAATATCTGAAGATAAACTGGGTAAAAAAGAGAAACATAGAAAATAATGGATGTCACATGAAAGTTGGAATCTTATCGAGGAAAGAAAACAGCAAAAGAAAGATATTTTGCAAGCAAGAACTGTAGAAGAAAGAGCGAACCGACAACAAGAATATGAAACAATAAATAGAGCAGTTAAAAGAAATACAAGAAGAGCCAAAAGAAGGTGAGCTGAAGAACTGGCAAAACAAGCTAAAACAGCTGCACAACACAACAGAACTAGAGAGCTATACCAAATTACCAGACGACTAACAAAAAATGGGCCCAACTGTTCAAACATTGTAAGATCCAAGACAGGCGAATTACTTACTACAACAAATGACCAAGTAGAGAGATGGAAAGAGCATTTTCATAAGATGCTAGGCACGCCCATGGAAAACGCAGATGAAATTTTCGAAAACCTGCAGAATGTAGACTTGCGTATATCTTGCGAGGCACCTTCCAAAACGGAGATACTAACAGCTATCAAATCTCTGAGAAATAACAAGTCTTCGAAAATCGATAACATTGCTGCCGAAATACTTAAAACTGATCCGCATCTAACTGCTGAACTTTTGCTCCCTATAATCCGAGAGGTGTGGGAAACAAACCGCATTCCAGCGGACTGGAAAAGGGGTAACTTTATTAGGCTTAAAAAAAGGGCAACCTCACACTGTGCAAAAATTGGAGAGGATAAACCTTGCTTACCGCAATAAATAAAATCTTCACGACCATCGTACATAAAAAATTAACAAACAAGATTGAATTTCGAGCAGGCTTTAGACCAGAATCCTCCTGCATACACCATATTAATACTGTGAGGGTAATAATGGAACAATCGGTTGAATGGAACACGCTCCTATATATGGTTTTTGCTGACTTCGAGCGTATCTTTGACAGCTTATCTCATGCTACTTTATGAAAAAATTTAGAGCTAAGAAACATCCCGCATAAAATAATTTCCATTATAAAGTACGATGAGGCGAAATGCAGCGTGACAAACAATGGAATCAACAGCGACGAATTTGACATACTTACTGGAGTCAGACAGGACTTATTGTAAAGGCATTATAGTACACTGTAAAAAGCAGTATAATTATGGTATGCCTGCTATAATTATAGTAGGGTTGCTAACACTGCTTTTAAGTAAGTTTTTGTCGTTTGGATTTATCAATTCGTTTTTTAATGCTTAATCTAACCTACTTATCCCGTTCTTAACTGCAGGTTTTTAGCCTGGTACCCCCGAAAAATCGAATTTACGCACCAAAAAACAAAAAACGACAAGGCTAGAGGACATAAAAGTGAATACTTTTATGTCCTCTAGCAACAACGACAAATGGGAGTTTGTCGAAACGGCAAAAAACCGTTTTGTACCTAAAAGAAACCGAGATCTCAACGGACCAATACGGAATTCAAAATCATTAATATATAACTGAGACTCGAAATTAAAATAGAATTTTTTGTACTACTTCTATTTTATCATACGCTTATGACATAAACAAATAATGCAATATAATCGTCAGCCACGTCATATAAAAGTTTGCTGAACTGGTTACATATGAACTGAATGATTTATTTGGAATGATTTGACTGATGACGTATCGGTAACTTGAAACGGTACCAACTATAAAACTATAAATCATTTCTTAGAATTCTTCACCACTTGATTTAACTACATTGTATTTATTGGTATCTATAAGTGACATTAAAGTAATGCCTTCTAAAATATACAACTGTAGTCATGATACTATGACTAAGAAGATAAGATATAGCGCATAAGTCGTGACGTCATTGGAGAGTTGCACGTTCGAAATGTCAGTTTTTTGTATGTATCAATAAATAATCTTTAATAAGTAGTTTGGAGATATCCTCATGTGTACGATTATTGTAATTATTAAACCTCTTAACTTATTTTCGTCTAGTAATTTCATCACAGAATGCATACAAATCCCATTTAACTTTAACAAGAATTCAAATTCTACTCTCCAATAACGGCATGCGCGAACACGACCGATTTTGTGGTACGGGAAGATCCTATCTTGTTAGTCATAGTATCATGACTGTAGTAATAAAGTTTTTTCAAAAACGCAAAAGATAACATGTAATGAGATTAATAATAATGACAAAAGTAAATGTCTTTTTTATTTCATGGCTTTCAACTTGGGTTTGTCCAAATTTGTGAAATTTAGATTATTAGAAAGAATGATTTGAGATTTTGACACTAATTCGTATTTAATGGGAATTAATTACAATTTTAATTGGAAATATACTTATTTTGATGTTTCAACTTCCACTTTTTAAATCATTATCTAATTATAGTATGTACACAGTGTTTTAAGAACGATTAGAAACTGAAAAATCAAAAAAACGTATTTTCAATTAAAATTCCCATTTAATGTAGTAGATGATTTGAAATTATCCAAGTTTTGCGGTACATAGTTTATCAAAAATACATTTCTGTGTTTATATACCACACTAAAAAAGTTCGTTTTTACGAGAATTAACGGCATTTTCTTAAAAAATACCTTCAAAATCTGACCCAATACAATCTGGTCTAAATTACCGTTTAAAAACAATTCTTATTCTTACAATCATCGACTGCGTTCCCGCCTACGACACAGTACCAAAAAACTTTGACATCAAACAGTTAAGGATGTTTGAAATTTGAAAGGAATTTATTCCTAGGAGTATATTTGAATCGTTTCAGTTCTTGTCTGAAGTATTCGACAGTCTTTTGAAGGCCGACGTTCAAATCGACTTTTGGTTCCCAGTTGAGGATGTTCTTCGCTCGCGAAATATCCGGTCGTCTTCGCTGCGGATCGTCCTCCACTTCGCTCACGTGGGTGATTTTGCTGTTACCGCCTACGAGGTTTTTTATGATTGTAGCAAATTCTGGAAACATTAAAAATCAAGAATTATATTTGAATAGATATAAGGTTGAATGCTCGAATAAATGAACTTTGATAATATAAAAGGCAAATATCGAGCACAGTTTAATTAATTTAATCTTGCCCAAGTACTTTCGATCCATGATACTATGATAAACAAGATAAACCCACTTCGCAATCGAATTTTGTACGTCGACGCGCATGACGTCACTTAGTGATAAAAGTTCCACTTTTATCACCACCTTTTATCATCACAGTCGGTAAGACAATATATGGAAAGAGAGGGTTTTTTATTTAAATATTTAGAATATTTAGGGATGTTAGGTGAAATCTCTCTCTCTCTCTCTCTCTCTCTCTTCAATCCTGACCCCCAGGGGGAGTGTAGTGGTCGACGTGATGTCGTGTATTGTCCGTCTCCAGAGATCTCTGTCTCTGGTCATTTCTTTTAATTCATGCATAGGTCTTTGGCATATTCCTGTAATTTGATCTATCCATCTTGATGGGGATCTTCCTCGTGATCTTCGGCCTTCTACCTTTCCTGTATTATGAGTATTTCCATGTTTCTGTGTTTTGCTCTCATAACATGCCCAAAAATATTTTAATTGTTGGAGATGGGCTTTACTAGAGAGTCGTTGGCTAACTTTTAACTCTCTTAAAATTGAATTATTTGTTCTGCGGTCGGTCCAAGGAATTCGTAACATTCGTCTCCAACAGAACATTTCAGTGGCGTCTATCTTTCTTCTCCTCCGATTGTCTCAGAGTCCAAGATTCACATCCGTAGGTCAGTATTGGGAATATTAAGCAGTTGATCAACCTCATCTTTATCGCTCTTGAAATTTGACAGTCCTTCCATATTTGGTCATTTTTGCTGTGGCAACTTTTGCTAGATCAGATCTACGTTTAATCTCTTCTTGTAATGACCCTGTGTTTGTGATTAATGATCCCAGATATAAGTATGAGCTCACAACATCGAACCGGTCAATTGTGGTTATGTGTGGATGATTGTTGTGTAGTCTATCCACTATCATGATCTTTGTCTTTGATATGTTTAATTGCAGACCAAATATTTGACTTTCGTTTTCGATCAGTCGTATAAGTTCTACCAGCTCTGCTTGACTATTTGCAAGAAGGGCTGTGTCATCTGCGAAACGTAGGTTGTTTAGTTTATGACCATTTATTGAGATGCCCTTTTCCCATCCTTCAAGTGCTCTTCGCATAATATACTCCCCATATATGTTGAAATAATTGTGGAGATAGTATACATCCTTGTCTGACACCCCGTTCTGGATGAAACTCGTTCGAAAGTGTGTCAAGTACTTTAAACTGATCCAGTAGTGTGTTCATATAGTTCGGTTATAAGCGTAATTAGATGTTTGTGGTACGCCTACTTCTTTAGTATTCGCCATAAGTGTCTCCACTTGACCCTGTCGAACGCTTTACTGGTAATCTATAAAACAGATGTATAGTGGGATGTTGAATTCCCTAGATTTCACGATTATCTGTCTTATATTCAGCAGGTGTACTCGAGTGCCTCTACCTTTGGTAAATCCAGTTTGCTCTTGTGGAATTTCTCTTTGAAGGAATGTTTTCAGTCTCTCCATTGATTATATGTAGCATTATCTTGCTGGCATGGAATATAAGAGAGATAGTTTCTATAATTGTCGCATTTATGGAAGCTGCCTTTTTTATGTATGGTCGTTAATTGTAAGATTTTGTCCAGTCTTCAGGGCATTGTTTGGAATGCCATATTTGGTTACAGAGTAGATGAAGTAACTTTACGTTGGTTTCTTCTGTGGCTTTAAAGCATTTCTGCTGTTATCATATCTGGACCTGGCGCTTTGTTATATTTGAGCTTGTTGATAAGCCTGTCTTACTTCATTTTCGAGTATATCAGGTTCTTCTTCCACCTCGTCAGAGATTTGGCCAACAAGGCTCTTGGCGTTTGATCATCTTTGCATATTTATCTTTCTTTTCTTTTCTTTCTTTTTCTTTCTATTCATCTTTAAATATCTGCAATTAAACTTAAAAATATGTTATATATATATATATATATATAAAGTATATATATATATATAATATATACATATATATATATATATATATATATATATATATATAATATATATACAACTCTGTTAGCCTAGCAATGTAAATTAATAGAATTTAAATAGATAATAAAATTATATAAAAAAAGGAGGAACTAAACATCCTTTTGGAAATGGAAATTTATATACAATGGATTTGAATTATTACAAAAAAAATTTAATACAACTGATAAAATAGAGTACAATGTAATAATTTACAAGTTTATTTAAACAATTTCCCCAGGGAAGGGGAAGGCCATCAGTTGCCTGGGGAAGAAAATGTACGGCACATAATGAGAGATAGAGCCATCAGAGAAGACGAATGGATGGACAGAAAACGATGGCGGTCGAAATGCGAGAAACGGCAGAGGCTGTAGGAACCTACGCTTATATATATATATATATATATATAATATATATATATTATAATATATATATATATATATATTTAACAATTTATATATATATATATATATATATATATATATATATAAATATATATATATATATATATATACATATATATAATTATATATTTACAATTTAATTTTACAATTTTTAATATTTTCTTCTTCTTAACTTTGGATTTTTCTTTAATATATCTATTCAATTATCTAATTTTTAAAATATAATTTACACCTAAAAAAAGATGTTTGACATCTGAACTTACGTTTACTAACACAGCTAAATCCATTAGCGATTTTTTTGATGTTAAGAGAGAGTCCGTATTCTCCACTATATCTCAAAACAAAACAACAAATCAATATTAAAATAACAAAATATTAACATAACAAACCTTGGATTACCAAAGGTATTCGCATATCTGCGAAAAATATGCGTTCTCTGCTATATATTAAAAAATTTAATGACAGTATCCCCATCTCTGATTATATCAACAAGTACAGAAAATGCTATATAAAACTACTCAAAGTAGCCAAAAAATCCTACTTTCATAATCGCTTAACAAGCTCCAAAAAATATTTCAAAAGAAACTTGGTCAATAATAAACGATTTTCGAAATAAAACCAGTACAGCGAATCAAACCTTTTCTTTTCCTAACCCCGAAAATCTAAATGATTACTTTGTTAATGTGAGTAAAAATATAACCTCAACTATTTCGCCACAACAAGATCCAGTTTCCTATCTCTCTAATTCAAAAAACATTGCTGATACCTTCTTTTTAAGACCAGTTGATAAGACGGAACTCATTTCAACAATTCGTAGTATAAAAAGCACATCGTCCTGTAGTACAGATGGATTATCTATTAAAATTTTCTCAAATCTACCGCATAATGTTTTGGAGGTCATGGTCTCGCTAGTAAATGATTCCCTTGAAAAAGGTACATTCCCTAACTGCCTAAAGACTGCCATCGTCATTCCTCTTCATAAAGGTGGAGAAAAATCTGATGCCTGCAACTATAGACCTATTGCCTTGTTACCAGCACTATCAAAAATTATTGAAAGACTTATAAAAGTTCGACTTATGCCCTTTCTCCTTAAATATAATATTTTATCGCAAAATCAGTTCGGCTTTTTGTCTAATAAATGCACTAGTGATGCCATATTTTCTGTGTTACATGATGTATATCTATCACTAAACAGTAACCTCTCCTCCGCCACCGTTTTCTGCGACTATTCCAAAGCCTTTGACTGCGTAAATCACGACATTCTATTAAAAAAATTAACTTTCTATGGAATTCGGGGTGTGTCTTTGAACTGGTTCAAAACTTACTTGGTAGGTAGGAAACAATTGGTTAGAATAAATGACACCGACTCTAGTTGTAAAGATATTGAGTGTGGAGTACCGCAAGGTTCAGTATTAGGTCCCATTCTTTTTTTACTTTTCATTAATGACATCACTTACTTGAAAATTAAAGGGAAAATTTTTCTATTTGCTGATGATACCAGTATTACTTGGAGCAGCTCTGATATTTCAACGCTTCATTCAATTATAACCGCTGATTTACTTATAATCAAGGCTTGGTCAGACTCCAACTTACTTAGCTTTAACGTGGATAAGACTGTAGCATTATCTTATAAAGGAGTCATGCAACCCTTGCTTTTGAATGAGAGCCAAATCAATATCGTAAATTCCGTGAAATTTCTAGGTATTCTCATTGACAGTGATCTCAAATGGTCCTTGCATACTGACTCCTTAAGGAAGAAACTAGCCTCAGCTTGCTTTGCAATAAGATCTGTTTCGAAGGAACTAAATTTATCTTCTGCCAAAATGGCATATTTCTCATTGTTCGAGTCCCATCTTCGATATGGGCTTCCATTTTGGGGTTCTAGTACAGCGGCCCAATTTGATACTATTTTTAAGTTGCAAAAAAGAGCAATCCGTTATCTATTTGGTCTCAAACAAACAACTCATTGCAAGACCTACTTCAAAAATCACGGAATTTTGACGCTTCCCTCTTTATTTATTTTGGAAACGGTTTGTTTGATTCGAAAGCATCTAAACATTTTTCCCGATAGACCTGACCATGGCTACTCCATTAGAAATTCGGATTGTAACGTTTATTTGCCGATCCCGCCCACTCAGCTAGTAAAGAATTCTATTCTATATCGTGCAAAGAAACTTTATAATCACCTTCCAAGAGAAATTAAATCCGCAACATCCTTCATTAAGTTTCGTAAGGTGACAAAAATCTATCTCTCAGAAAGACCATATTATTCAGTTGACGAGTTTCTTAATGTATAACAAAGAACAAAATTAGTATTGTTTATAATTACATTTGGTGTCTCAAGCAGTGGCTACAATTTGTCTCATTTGTTGTTGTCTGTACAAATTATGTAGGTATACAATAATTTTACTAATTTAAAATTGTGTTATTCTGTTTTTTACTATATTTGTTTTTGTTTTATACTTTTTGTACTATTTGACTGATTTATTTTTTAGCTTTGTCCATAAAATTGTTCAATAATTTTCAGTGACAATAAAGCATATTTCTAATCTATTCTATTAAGATATAGTGGAGAATACGGACTCCCTACACTGATCAGTTATAATAAACAGTTGCGTCCAGCATTATAGAAGAATCACCTATGCATTTGATTCGAGCATAACAAAAAAAAAAAACAAAAAAAATGAACTTACCATTGATGGTGTGCTCTACTGGATTGCCTAAATTGACTGGTTGAGTATAATTGGAGTTCATTAAAGCTACCAATCCTTCTACTAAATCTGAAACGTACTGAAAGGACCTTGTTTGTTCCCCTGAACCATATACCTAAAACATTAATTATTAGAATATTTGATACAACATAAAATGTATGTCATTTGTCTATGTCTCTAATCCGTCTCACGTTTTTCATTCAGTAGACTCTTATGGACTATACCTCTTACTATTCTTTGAATTTTCAATGATTCTATCCCTATTTACAGTTGCATTGTTGCCAGTTCCACTTTCTGTCAAGCACCTGAAGCTTATGTCAATGCTTGTCTTCTGTGGCTGTGGTATCCATTATTCAGTTAACCTAACTATACCGTTACTGTAAAATGTTAAAAAAATTCTTGATGTAGAGGAAAGAGGACATACAGTTCTGTGTTTACTACCTTATCATTGCAAATTAAACCCCATAGAAATGATAACGAGCGCAAGTGAAACATATTAAAATGAACGATAAAACATTTAAGGTCAAAGAAATGTCACAATTGAGAAGCTGGGAGGACAAGTGGTACAAGTGACATTTTATGGAAAAGTGAGAGATCGATGTGCAAGAGTGGCTAAATGATGTTGATATTTATTAATGTAAAAAATGGCATAATTACATACACTGTGATCATAGCAACGAGTATAGAAGATCTACAACATCTTATCGAAAGCTTAAGTATGAATAGTGCTGAGATGGGAATTACTATAAACGCTAAAAAAACGAAGTACATGCTAATTACAAAAAGAACACAAAATATACATCACCCATTGATAAAAATAATGACGGAGTTAGTTGTGCAGTCACAACGTTAACAGACATCATACAGCCTTTCCCTCGTTTTGCGACATTCATACGGCGGAATTAGTAGGAATATTATAAAACTCTTTCACGCCTCTTCAGCAATCTGCACTCACTCCTTAGCATCTATCAACTCGATAAAAAATATTTTCATCAGACATTCAATTGTTCAAGCCATCTATTACTCAATCAACTTACTGGCCTCCCAAGGAGCCTTCGTGACAATCATCCGGATACACTCTCGTGCAGGTATTCAAGGCAATAAAAGAGCAGACGCTGCAGCCATATCAGCACTATCATCATCCAGTGATCCTGAAATTATTCAAATATATAGATCTAAAACGTTACTTTAAACGATTAACACTCAACTGCTGGCAAACTTATTGGAATAGGCTGCCTTCGAAATTGAATAAATATAGGAAATCACATACAACAAATCAATTAGTACATTTAAATCACCGAAAATGTTCAGAAAATCAAATATAGTACTTAGAAGGCTAAGTACCAAATACTTAATGGCTTCTGAAACCCTCCTATGTGTCAATATTGCAAATGTCAGCTGTCAGTTAAACATATCCTCTTTTATTGTCCAACATACTAAAAAAAAAACAAAAAACTCTACTCTTTAATTATCAATAGGTTAAATAGTCCATTATTGATAAATTGAAGTGCAAGAACTCTGAAAACGCAACACAACTGAATACATCTAAGATCTAATTGTACGAGGACTTTTATTCACAGTATAAATGCAACTCTCTGATATATGAATTGTAAAACTGCTAAATTATATTCAACTTACCGTTATCACATCCTCCTGAAGCGCCTGAAGAATGAAGTTGGACACCACCCTTCCATCGTTCATGTGCATTCTTGGTCCGTAAGTATTAAATATTCTAGCTACTCGTACTTGCATATTTTCCTGTTTGGCGTATGCGTACGTAAGGGATTCGGATACTCTCTTGCCTTCATCGTAGCAAGCCCTTGGACCTAAGAAGAAGAAAAACTATTACAATTGAGGTATACCTCAAGATATTCTTTAATATTTATTAGTATTTGCGTTCGAAATGTTCTGTTGGTAAAGAATACTTAGAATCAACTTGCTGGCCCAAATAACAGATAAGTCAATACTCAAACTCAAGGAAAGACTAACAAATAGGTTATTTTGGGCATGTTTTTCGAAGAAATGGTCTCGAGAAGCTTACCACAAATGAAAAGGATGACTTTAACAGAGGTAGAAACAGATCTCACAAGAGACATGGACCAAAATGATGTAGATACATCAAAATACTAGGTGTGGCTACTAAACAACAAAAATAACGCTAGAAAATATTTTACTGTGATTCCATATATAATGCGAATTTTTCATTTTTACAAATTGGCTGGAGTGTCAGTTTTGACGGACTCAAATTTTGTTCCCCTTAATGCAGATTTCACCTTAAGAAACAATATAGTGTGATGAGAAGTAGTATTTCTAAATAATAATGGAGAATTCAGTAAACCGTAGATTAGGATTATATATTGTATAATATAGTTGGCTTCGTCAAGTACAGATGTGTCGTTATTTTCTCTTAACTACTTAACATTAAAAAGAACTTGCATCTGCTCCCAAATAATTTATTTTCTTCTAGTATTATTAAAATATATAGAAGTCGCACAGCGCAAGATCTGGCGAATAAGGCGCATTGTTCAATACTGGAACGGCGTAATTGGCTTGAGATCTTTTGAAAGTAAATATAGAATTTGCACACACTTTTTGCATTTTCAAATTGAGTAAACAGTTCTTTATGTTACAATATCTACACGGAAATCATTAAAAGGATAGACTTTTCAAAAACTGCCACGAAGTGCTTTCTAAGTCGTTTCTGCAGAATAGATCGGAGGGCGTACCAATCTCTGGACCAATGTATGCTAACTAAGTGGAGATTGTTCAAGACCACTTAAAATCGAACAACTATTCAATGCATCCAGTGGTTGCATCGAAAGCTCAGTGCCGACGGAGAAGCAATGATGGAATTTTGCTATGCACTGGACCACCATAAAATTACAGAAAATAATCTACAACTTTTTCAAATTTATAACGCTGAAAAACAGGGTTATACTGGTAAGCAATACCTACAAAAACTTTAACTGAAAGTAATGAGAGGAGTACAGGGGTATAAAAAAAAGTAAACATGGGATAGCAGCGTTGTGCCATTGGCACAACACATCACTGTTATCCGGCTAGCCATAGACTCAAGCTTGCTGTGATTGGAAAGTCAAAAAATCTTAAAGAACACTTTTAAAAACATAACGCTGCAGAATCTCCCAGTCCACTATATAACCAGCAGACTGTCTGGATAACTTGTGACATTTTCCAAGATCGGTTCCATAAAAAGTACATTCCTGGAGTAGTCTTTTTTGAAGAAGAAAAAGTTGCCACCAAGGGCGCTTTCTCTTCTGGGTACTGCTGGTACTTGTTATCACTGAAATTTCTTTGTTCCTTTTTCAGCCAATGTTACATCAATTCCTCAACCAATGGATCAGAGTGTTGAGACAATGAAACGCCTTTACGAAGAGAATTTATGATAAACTTGTTGGATGTGATTGATCTGATCAAGAACCTTCTTGTGTCTGATATGTAAGTTGTAACTCTTTTAATTTTAATCTAAATTCTACATACCCTACATCAAATAAGCAGTTTATGACTATATTGTACAGTTTCCATTAGACTGGTTATAACCATTACCACTGATGTCTCAACATATTTTATATTGTGCCAATTCTTTTATAAATTAAATTTACAGTTCTTATTAGATTAATATTTTATGTATAATATCAACTTTCTTACTCAATTAAGGTTATAGTTGCTGGCATATTTTATTTAATTTTGTTTTGACTTTAACTCTTGTTTTGTATTGTGTGTTCATTGTTTGTTTCATGTGGTTTTTAGCTTTTTATTAAAACAAAGACCTTTGTACCGTGGCCTGATGATGAGGCATACATTGTAAGCCTCGAAACCGGTAGCCTACAATTTAATTACAATAAAAACTAGATTGTGAGAAGTTTTGGAAATCGTTCACCATCAAAGATGCTATATTCATCTATAGGAACGTTCGTAAAAAGTGAAAACACATCGAAGCTGACTAACAAATGTCCTGGCTCAAGAGTCACATCTTTTATACGTTCGATGAAGTGGCTGGTATTCTTGACGTAAGAATCCGCTTCTTCTGCATATGGTTTTAGCTGATCAGCCAGAATTTTTGCCAGTGGCTGTAGAGGAGATCCGATAGAACTAAATATTGGTCGCAATGATAATCCTGCCTTATATACCTTGGGTAGGCCGTCAAGTTTTGGACATCTTGACGACTTCTCTCTAGGTATGAGATGTAACTGATGTTCTTTCTTGATGTCTGAGGCTTTAATCTTGGCTTTTGCTCTTTTTTTTAGATATGTTGTGAAGTCCGACGAGATTCCTTGATATATCGTATCGTTTAGGATGTCGTTTATTTTTGCTTCATAGTCTTGAATATTCATTACTACCGTGGCATTGCCTTTGTCAGCTGGGAGCACAATGATTTCTTTGTTGTTCTTCAAATGATTATTATATCTGTGGCACTCCCGATACCGTGGAGCAGAGATCATCGGGGTTCTACTGTATCCAATAGGGTGACAGTCATATTTTTCTATGTCGACGGCAAAATGTATTTATTTGTCAAGGTCGGTCAAAAACGAATTAAAATGCTCGTTTAGATAAGCAAAATGAACTTTTAAATATGTAGTCCTTCAATTAAAATAACTCCAAAGGAAAACAGATAAGGAAACGTTTAACATATCAACAATATTTAATTCCTGTGGACTGACATAATTGTTAACGTGGAAAAGGAAATATACATATTGTTGTCATTTTTTTTTTTAAATTTTAATGAACAGCAGCTTATTTAAACTTCCAAACATGCGAATACATATGAATTGATTTTATATAATTTTATAATTTTATTTTTGACACAAAATAAAAAATATAATTATTCTTTTAGAAAAGGTTAACTTTTGCACGAATTCTCAAAGATTTTCAAAGTAATTTTCTATCTGTGAACGACATAAACCAATATCCAATTGGATAACCAATTAAAAATATGTTTTAAATGTACACATCACCACCGCTAAAACCATTTTTAAATGTCTTTAATTTCATTATAGAGATTAACTTTTTTAAAATCCACAAGGACAATAGAAAAATGTTTAAGCCACTAAATACATTGGTGAAAAACCTTATGTTATTCATCTTCCCTTACTAGAGGTTGCTAGTAGCATACTCTGGTAATTATTTTTCCTATAAGTGCCATACCCAGAAACACGTGTTAGAGAATGGTATGAGACTCAAATTAAATCTAAACGCAACCGTGTACGTATATTTATTATCTTATGTTATTCAATTGATTAAATTACTTGATTGCTGCTAATTTTATAGGATGTTTAAAATTTAAGCAAATTCATTTCATGGCAACTTAAACTCTTACGTGCTTTACTGGATCGGACCACGAGTAGCGACTGAACTTTTTAATAAACTGTTTTATTTAATTTGTTTTAATGTCTTACCTATGGGATTTACATGCCCCCAATAAGTTTCAGGCTGTGGATGGATATCTGGATCCCCATACACCTCCGAGGTACTTGCAATCAAAACTTTCGCGTTTAATCTTCTAGTTAAACCTAAAAAATACAAACGGACTTTAGGTTTTAAATATTAGGTTATGACGTTCATGTTGTTTAGTATATTAAAGACCCACATCTAGAGTTGGACTGGCCTTATGGGAGATCGAGAAAATTCCCGAAGCACAGAATTTCATGTTATAATGATAAAAATTTTAAAAATTTTGATACTGCTTTCTTTTACCCTTACTCGAAATTTGTCTTCCTTTATATATTACAAAACTACTGTAAAATGCAATTCTTACAATCAATTGTTTTTTAATCTACCTATATAAAAGGCTAGGACGAGAACTCACACTGTTTGTAAGGTAGGATAACTCCTAGTGCCACTTAGGATAGAAGTCTGAACTCTCAACTGACATTTCAATCATATTTTGTTCTTGAAACGATACGTTTAATTAATAAATTAGATGTTTTGTATAAAAACTTATTGGGCCATGTTTTATTGCCAAAAATATTTGTATTGCTGGATTTAAGTTCTTCACACTCTCCTTTTTGCGGTGGTACCTATCTTGTTTCTTATGTGATCTGTAAACATTTTTTTGGCAATTTCTTTTTGGTCTGTAGTCCATAACACAAGAGTACGACTTTTTTGTTGGTAGTGGGGACATTTTCAGGAACGACACTAGGTTTTACTTGAACTAACTCACTACCATCTAATTCTGCATCACGTGTTTCGTCATCGTCTAATAACTCATCCTCCATGTTTTGGTTGATTTCATCTAAAGTCCTGCCTTTATATCCCCCTGCTTCCCCTTTTTTTATCAGCATTAAGAACTTGCAAATTTTGCCATTTGATATACGTTATTAGTGTGACCACAGCCACCTTTACTTCCAAGCCATGAAGTAGAAATTTGGCAACAACGCGTGGTAGTCCGACCATGGTTTATGGTTTGTTTTGTTTAACATTTGATATAGGAAGGCTTGTAAAGTTTGTTGAATTTAGTGTTTTTTTAACTTTATTCGAATGTTTTATTTGTAAATTGTGTTTAAATCAATTAGAAAATATTAATATAAGTGAAATTTCATTAAATTTAGAACTTATAGAAGATTCTTAACGACAATTTAAAAGGCAAGTATAAATATAACCTAGAAAACAAACTGAAAATAATAATACTTTTGCTTCTTGTTACAAAATATGTAAACTAAAAACAACAATAATAATACTTTTGTTTTTTGTTACAGATGCCCTGGCATTGTTGTGTACCTGGTAGCAAAACCAATTATGCGAGTACTTTAAAAACGAAACAGGCAGAAAGTATGTTTTTGTTTTCCAAAGATCCCCAAAGAAGGTATACTGGGTTATGCTCTATTCATAGAGAAGGCTATACAATTACCAAATCTTCCGTAGTATGTGCCAAACATTTTCATGAAGATGATATTCAGCGGACTGAACAATGAGAAGATAAAGATGGAAATGTACACATTGAAAAGTTAATATTTCCCAAATTAAAAGGCAATGCAGTTCCTAATATATTTCCTGAAGTACCATCATATGTAACTGTTCATCGTACTAAAGAAAGAAGGAATCCCGAAGACAGAAGAAACTTTTTGCATAAGAAGAGGGAACAAGAGATAACATAATTATGACAATTAGACTTAGACAATAATATCCCATTGAAAAACTGGACAAGTAAAATTACAAGTGACTGTGTATATTTCTATGTATTAAACATTAATTAGTTGGGACACAAGTGTGATAATATTTGTGTAATACGTAGTGTAATAGTTAGCAGTAATTTTAGTGTAATCGTCAATGTAGGTAAGAATAGATTAAGTAGTAATGATTTGAAATGGATTTTACAATATAGTAAATTAAAAAGATGGTCACAATTAGAGAACTTACTTTCTCATTTAGATCTGCTTTTTAGATAAGTGATAACAAATTTGAGTATTACATTCAAAAATCTTTTGAGAATATAGGCTATTTTAAATCGATATACAAGTTAATGGTATGTTACATTCAACACATTTTTCATGTATACCTCTTTTAACTTGATCTACATATATGACAAAAAACCTATTCATATTTAAAATTGCTACTTTCGTATACCTAAGTATGAAAATTCAACAAAAGTTATAAGTAAATAGTAAAATATTTAATTTTCAATTAGATTAATTTAGAACCATATTTATATTGTGTCTGATTTCTTAGGATGAATTTTTTAATCATAATAGTTACACCAAGTTTTTACTTAACAACAACAACAATATTGTGTTATTTATATGCTCAAGTACTTAATATTTAAAATTTCTAGAGATTCTTGACTGCATTTGATTGTAAGATTAACTGTTTGACACTGTATTTTAAGTGCAATAAATTTTATTCTAGTGATTATTTTATTGATAATATAACCTAAATAATAATAAAACTTTATATATATTTATTAGATAAATATAAGGTTTTATTAATTTAATTTCCCTAAAAATATTTCTGTAATGAATTGAAGTTTTCAAAATATCAGTTTCCTAAAATTCAAATTAGTTCAAATTTTCTGGTAGACTTTACAGCTGATTAACGGACTATCGACGTCATAGAATGCGGTGTTGCCTTTTTTACTTCATGGCTTGGAAGTAAAGGTGGCTGTGGTGTGACTCATAAAAGTTGCTAGTTGTTCGATATCATTCGGCGACATGTTGAAGAAAAATGTTCATTATTTTACGAATCTGCTTTAATGATTCTAAAAATAATATTTAACGATTCTAAAAATAGTATAGGTACATTATAAAAACAATCATTTATTTATATTTTAAACGAAAACATTTAATTGGGATTATGAGTATTTAATGATTTTTAAATCTTCATAATAATCGAATTGTCGGTAGAATTTGGAATTTCGGTAATGTTGTGGAAAAATTTATGAACATTTTGCATACCTACTCATTTTTTAACATAGACACGTTTTATAGGACAATGCAAAGAATGCATTATTCCGCTACCTATATTTATTGTTACCTTGCCATTCAACCTATAACGATGCGATATAATGCAATATTTACTCATAAACACAACAATGGCATTTTCAACCAATAAATGATTATTTACGGACTTATTACAATATTAAAATTACAACAAATAATACATTATATATAGCTAGTTTCAAATGCTGTGCCCAGAATTCCTGGGAACAGTAATACCTAACCTAACGAAGCAGTGGCGTTCCAAAAAATACTTAGGAGTTGCAATAGTCAAATTGTTGAAGATACAAAATAGACACATTGTATTAAAAAATAATATTAACACATTGAGTGCCACTATGGACAAAAAAATCTGTCCGAGTGGCCAAATTTTTAAATGAAAATACATAAATAATTTTTTGTGCTATTAAAAATTGAAAAAAATAAAAAACCTGCAATTTAACGAAAAAAAAAGTGACTGATTTATCAGAATATCAGCCATGCAAGAAGAAGAAAGTTTTAACAAAAATATGTGACTCAAAACGCACTGCCAATTTACATGAAGTGAACTTCATCGACATCTAGTGAAATTATCCAACCAGTCAATAAAACACAACACAATATAGCAGATACCATTAAAGCTGTTATTCAACAAATGCAGGTTTTTTCATCAAGTGACGAAGAAGAGAACCAACAAAAATTTCTAATTGCCACTGACTGGTACATTGCCTTGGAACACGAAACAGCTAGTCGAGCTTCACGGAACTATCTAGTACGAACCTCTGAAGAGAGCGACGAACAAAACGATAAATGTCTGAAAGAAATCGTACAGAAAGTAGTTCCTAACACGATGCCGAAGAGACGTGAAACCAGATGTTGGAATAGTGGCCACGTAGGTCACATTTGCGTAAATTGCAAGAAAATAATACAACAGTCAGAAAGCTAGAACAGATCGAACACCGGGCTGGATTCAAATGCTGATGCTCAGTCAAGACGGCCATGCAGTGCATATTGTATTCACTGTTTTAAATTAGGGGAACGACTTTGCCCCGTTAGACGAACCACCGTCATTAATGATCAATGGCAGCCTCAACAACTACAAGACGCTCAAGAAGATGATCCATGTATAAAAAGAGTATTGGATTGGATGCGTCGAAGTGAAAGACCTTCTTAGCAAGACATTAGCTCGTTTTATTGAAATACGCTACCATACATTCATTTTTACTACTCCCAACACTGCATCTGAAATAAGGATGTTAAAAGTGGTCAACTGGAGAAAAATACATGCTTTCGAGATGTGCGCTTATAAAAAAATGTTGCGAATATCGTACACAGAGCATGGCGCCAAAATTTGAATTATAAAGCAATTCATAGTCAACAAGACTGTCAAAACCAAAATAATTCAGTCTTACCTCAGATAATTTAAACACATTTCGAGAAGGACAAAGGGCCTAGAGAAGCTGACCCTTGAATGTAAAATTAATGATATGAATGAAATAAGCTACAGATTAATTAATATGTAGCTAATATAACACCCATTAATAATTATTATTCTCCCTTAAAATAATTGACAGCAAAAGTTGTAATTATTAAATAAATATTTAAAAACAATTTGTTTTGTCGAAAACACTGATTATATTTATATGTTTTTAGTTGCCAAATTTTGTTTTCTAACATTAATATTGCTGTTTACGGAATTTGGTGAGGTTTTTGTAAATACGGAGATCGTTTACCTCGCCCATTTGATACCATAAAGTGTATTTATATATTTTGTTTTTACGTTACTCAGATGTTTTTTTACTTCGTTTTAACGATGGCTAATAATAAACTTTATTTTATTTTATTTATTTATTATTATTATGGATGAGGTAATAATGGAATTGCGCAAAGGAAAACGATAAAAAATGGGGAAGCTTACATGAAATCTTGATAGGTACAGTTGGTACAGTATAGATACCAATACACGTCATCCGCGTCATAGTAAGTGACGTCACAAGATACCAACACAAAATATTCAAGTCATAGGTTTGTCCCTTAGAATCTTTTAGCTAAGTACGCTGGAATTACAGCCACTAGACATATTTTATTATATACGCGTAGAA